GGCTGAAATAATAACAACAGAACTATACGTCTAGATGCAATGTAATGTGTTGCTACTAGTTTGAAATGTAATTTTGCTGAGTGTGGGTTGCTTCTTTTTAATGTAAATGGCCTCCAATTTCTGAAGGTACTTTTTACTGTGTATATGTGTGAGTATTATTGTGTTATCAACTAATATCTGTCGAATATTATGTACATGGCTCTGTTTTTCTAAGAAATGTTGTTTGATAGAACTAAGATCATAAAGATGACAGGTAAGTCTACAGGAGGGTGTGGTTGTAGTAAAACCTATATATATATATATATATATATATATATAAAAGGACACTGAGGATAAGAGGTTAGAATGTTTGCTTTCTGGGTTGGAATCTCACTATGTTCTGTCAGAAATATGACTTCTTGATAATATAAGACTGGTAAAGCGATCACGGTGTGCAGCACATTTGGAAAGTGCCTGAAAATCGCATCATGAGTTGATGCAAGTTTTGTGAAGGAAATTGTTCAAACTGTTGATTATGCCAGATGATGTGATTTTTCCCAGAAACTATAACTAAGGTCCACTCAACATAGTTGCAGTATAAACCACAGATGGGTTCTGTGGGTGTTGAACAAACACAAATGTGCCTGAACAGGCATCCAAGCAACAAGGACTGGTTAGCTACACAAGTAGACAGGCATACTCACACCCATTATTTATATATATATATATGTGTGTGTGTGTGTGTGTAATTTATGTGGATACACACTTTTGCGTGGACATCCCTGTTTTTCAAACAGTAAAATTAATGTCCACCAGCCTTGACATAGAAAGTCTTATTAAAGAAAATGTACCTTTCAGCAGGATTAAACCTGCATTCCTTTATCCTGTGAACCACCTATGAGACAGGCATGCTTTACTGTTCAGCCACTAGAGCAAAGTAAGGCTCAATTTCCCATTTTTATAAAATGTACATCTCTGATTGGGACTTTTCATTGTCTATATCTGCTAAATTTCTGTACCTAAAGAGTAAACACAGTAATTGAATTGTTTGTGTGTGCAATGTAGACCTGGAGAGTAACATTTATGTGTGAAACAATTTTTGCCTGGTCATGAAAGAAACATATGGTCACATGTTATCCTCATGGAATATTATGTCCCTTTTTTTTTTTTTTAACTCATTTCATTGAATGCATTTTATCAATTGCTGCCTTTAGTTAGTCTAATCATTAGAAAATCAGTCATCTGTTCCTTCAAGAGCACAGGGAAGAGAACTACCTTCCAGTCAAAGCATATACACCATGTAACAAATTATTAACAAGGTGACAATTTTCCATTTTGTCCAAAAACTACATGTTGGAATTTAAGAAAATTTTCACAGAATGATGGCAACAGTTATATGCATGTGTTGTGTAAAATCTGTAAGGTCCTGCACAAGTGTAAACAAACTGCGGCAATTTGCATGAGTAACACAATACTTCAGTGTCCCAAATTATTAACAAGTGACTTCATAATCATGTAATTAAGGGTCATAATTGTTAATTAACCTGTAAGCGATCTGGGATTACAAAGGAAATGTTTGTCGCAGATTATTTCCATGTCACAGAGAATAAATCACCAAGTTCAGACTCGAACATGGGGGGGGGGCAGAAAGAAATGCCGGAAACTCGATTCGCAGGTACTAACTCATGAATCCCAATGCACACAACCAGTCAAAAAAATAACTCCTTCTCTAACAAACGTGGTAGCCAAAATACCCAAATTTTGCTTCCCCGATTCGAGAACACCAACTGTTTTTATCGGCCGAGCATTTTTTCCATTCGTTGACAGCTGGGAGAGGATTTTCAGTATTTTGCATATCAAAATACTTTTATAGCGACTCCTGCGATGGACTTGTTTTTTAATTCAAATATTCCATCTTCAGCATGTCATGCAGAATATGTGCCCTTTTGTTTGGTAAGTAATTTTCTTTTTCGACACATTTTCCATCATACTGTCGCTTGGTTTAATGAGGTAAGTCAGCATTTTCTTCACTATATAACCACTTCTGAGAAGTCTGTTATAACAATTGAACTTGCAAAAGGTAAATCAATATTAAAAATATCCCAAATCATTGGAAGATATCACCAAACTGTGAAAAAGTTTGTTGCAGCTTCTATGAAGGTATGTAAGAGGGTCAATAAGGGTTACTTGAAGATTGGTTCCCAATGTTCTCTGTCACGAATTAAATGTGAAGCTGTAAATAACCCAGGTCTGACCAGCAGAGAAATTTTCAGGCACATTGGAGAAAAAACTGTGTCCAGAACTTTATGCCATCTTCTGAAAAAGTTTGGGAAATCATTGATATCGATCACAACACCTCCATTGACAAAAAGACATGTACAAAAGCATCTGAAATGGGCAGAAGATAACATAATGGTCAATGTCTCAAAGGTTTTTTTCACAGATGAATCTTGTGCTACTACTGGTGGCCCTGACAGTTGGAGCAAATTTTGGGTCGTAAACAGATGATATCATCATCAAC